AACTTTATTTTATCTACTTCACATACAAGTGAAATTTTTTTACTTTTGTGATTTTTTATGTTTAATCTGATTTACACATTTTTAATTGTATTTATTGTAAACAAAAATTTCTTCTATAAATAAACATTATTATATATTATTACCTATTCTTTGAATTATTAAAATGCGAACTGAATATAAACTTATCTACGTACGTACTACGATTAAAGCTTGGATAACCAAATGTGTTTTTTGAGTACGTATTGATAAGCTACATCGGATTTATATAAAAAGAATGATTTTTCTTAACGTATAAGTGAGTGCCTCCTTCAAAACTTATCAGGTAAGTTTATAAATGTGTAGGTTCTGTTTTTCAAAATTTTAACAAACAAATATTACAATTAACGAATATTTACCGTGTATCCATGTTTCAATACGTTACGTTAAAGTTTTAGTAGGTTTTCGTAAAATTTATTCATGTAAAGACTGCTTTAGACTATACAAATTCTTGTACAAGCTTTGATACAATTTCTTGTACAATTTAAATTGTCTATAATAGTATCGTACAGTAAATTGTTTGCAAAATCGGATTTTTTTAAACAATTTAGTGTATGATACTACACAATTTAAACTGTACAAGAAATTGTATCAAATCTTGTACAAGAAATTGTATCAAATCTTGTACAAGAAATTGTGTAGTCTAATGCACTAGGTTATTGTGAATATTATTTACTGCATTTTAGTAGTTAGTATTTATGTTTAGTTTTCGTACAAAAACCCATTACATTAAAGCTTTTTCTACACCCGTATTATAATAATGCACTTATATGCCCATAATCCATTTCATAATGATACCCATTATGATACAGATTTTTCATAACGATACAGATTTTTAATCAATAGAAACCCATAATTTTTCAATCAAGCATGCTGTGCATTTGACGTTTGTCCTAGGTTCCTATGTAATTTGTTTTAGTTGTCAAAATCAGTACGTATTAAATTTTCGTAGATAGCTAACCTTCGACAATTATATTATCAAAATGTCTGATATCAGCGATATAGAAGACTTACTATCGACTCCTCCACACGTATCGGAGAAAGCAGAAAATGCAGTACAAAATATTTTGCCCCAAAAATCTACCAATACCCGAGGTAATTAATTTTGTAGAATTTGTTCTAGAAATACGAGTAATTACTGTTATTGTGTTCAATACAAATATTTCAAATTAATTCTTACACCTCAGTTTGTATGTATGTAAATTATATTGTAATTAAAATTAATTAAATTGATAAATAGCTTCTTCGGAGGAGGCGTGACCTAGACCTAGTGTCTGTTTTGTGGTAGTCCTCTTCCAAAGTGGCCATATAAAAAGAAGAAAAAGATAATACAATGTAAACGACACAAATAAAATATGATATAGATTTTTTTTTGGTAGGTAAGGAGGCCTTAAAAGATTTTTTAGAATTAGCTTTTTAATTTCGGTCTTAAATTTAACTAAATTTTTATATTTATAGGAAGCAGGTTAAAAGCCTTAGGGCCATAGTAGAAGAAACTTCTTTGTGTTACAGATTTATTAAACAGATTAATGTTTAAATTTAGGTCAGTGACAGCTCTAGTATTTGAAAGGTTTTTTGGGAACTGTCCTTTTTTAAAATACATTCTTAAGAGACATTGGTACGAATATATCTCTCTGATATTAAATAATTTTGTTTCTTAATAAAGTTCTTCAGTTGAAAATAGTCTGTTTTATGAAGTATTATTTTTGGAAGCGTATTTTGTGTGGTTTGTTTCTCCCCAGCTAGTAATACAATTCCCTAAGCATAGATTCCATTAGGAAATAATACAACATAATTAAGTTTTTTCTGGATAAGATATCTCTGATAATATTAACTTTGTGCATTAGCGCTCTTATTCGTTTGGTGAGATATATTACGTGTTCATTCCATCTGGTATGCTGGTCAAAGATGATTCCTAAGTATTTAATCACTGTAGTTTTTTCTAATAAAGTACACGAACATTTATATTCATCACACGTAGGTTTATGTAGTTTGAGATTTAATATAGGCTGATCCGTTACTGTATGAGAAAAAGTTATATATTTTGTTTTTCCTATATTTAAACTGAGTAAATTATGATTTAACCAAATTTTTATATTTTTTTAACATGTTTATGTGGTAGATTGAACTTCATTCCAAGTTTTCCCAGTAATGATAAGTGCTGTATCATCAGCATAGCAAACTAATTTTCTTCTGACATTTTTTATGTTAAAAATATAATTTACATATATTAGAAATAAAATCGGACCTAATACGGTCCCCTGGGGTACACCTATCTTAACCACTGATTCAGAAATCAATACATCCCCTATTTTAATTGTTTGTCTTCTGATTGATAGATAATGTTTGAAGAGGTCTAATACTATTCCTCGAATACCGTAATTATTCATTTTATCTATAAGTTTACTATGTGAAACAGTATCAAAGGCCTTGGCTAGATCCAGAAAAATTGCGAGACATTTCGTTGAGCTGTCTAAGGCTCCTCACGGGTTCTAGCAGGCTCAATATGGCATCTTCGGTACTCGAGTTTTTAATAAAACCGAACTGATTTTTTGAAACAATGTGATGGTCATCTAAAAATTCAACTAACCTTTTTTTTAATGCTTTTTAAATACTTTCGCTAAATTATTTATAACCGATATATGTCTATAGTTAGTTAGTTTATTATGTTCTCCTGCCTTATAAATCGGTGTTATTAGACATTCTTTCCATTGCAAAGGTATTCTACCGTTTGTAAAACAGAAATTTATAATATAAACCAAGGGGTCTATAATATGTGAATGTATAGATTTTAGACATTTTGTATCAATTCTATCAGGTCCCGATGAGCAATTATTTTTAAGTTCTGAAATCAGGATGGTTACACCGCTGTTGATACTGGCTTTAAAAAAAGTGAAGACTACGATATTTTCGTTGAAAATTTTTTGGGAAGAATTGTTTCTTCTATATCATTTGCCATTTTGAGTCCTAAATTAGTAAAAAAAATATTAAACAAGTTTGCTTTATCAATGTTACTTTTAAAGGCAACACCGTGTTCATTGATTATGTTTGTGTTTGAAATCTGTGAAATAGTTTTACCTCCTGATACCTCTTTAATAAAATTCCATTTGTTTTTCAATCTCCAGCTGCATTATTTAATTTACTTTTATAATAATTGTTTTTGGTTTTTCTTATCAATGTATTTAGTTGCTTTCTATATACTCTATATACTCTATACTATAAATATAATATTTATAGATCTTGATTATTTATCGGGTGTAGAAAAAATAGCGTATGCATCTCTCATGTAATGGTTATTACATGATCGTTGTTTAATATACTATTTAAAATATCCTTGTTTTTATTAATCATAGATATATACACGGTGTCTCGTAAATATACCGACACACTTTTAGGAGTGGTACACGACATTGGAATAATCATTTTTTATTCAATTAAACGCTTCATTTCCGATAATAGATAGACCTGTCCCGTGGACCAACCTGCTCATGGAAATTTTCAATACAAGTTAATAGGTTCAAAAGTAAAAATTTCATTAAAATTGGTTAGAGGTTTTCAACATTGATTTTTTTAACACTTTATTAAAATTTCGAAAACGAAGCGTTTTCAGTCATATGTTAATTGAGCAAAAGTTGCTTATTTTAATGTCACCCTATAAGTTTGTCGGTTTATTTACGTATAGTACAATAACTAAACAAAACTTTACAAACTACCTATATTAAATTAATATAATTAAAACAATACTGAAGTGATATCTAAAAAATGTTACTAATTCGGACAAAAGTTACTAAATTTTATATTAATAAGAGCTCTGTTCCAAAAACGATGAGAAACGAAACACTGACACCAGGATTATTCGCTGTAGATTATTGGGTTCACCAAATTATCTACAGCAGAATCCCGGCAGTGTTGCCAACCCTACCGATTTTTCGGTAGATCTACCGATTTTGGAATCATTCTACCGATATACCGATTTAGGAATTAATCTACCGAGTTACAGGACTTCATCTACCAGGATTTGATTTTTATTAATTTCAATTTTATCGATCCTGATATAGTGAAAGATGGTTCTCTAAGCTCTATTTCGAAAGTAGCATTTTTATTTCCAAATTTAATAACAGAAAACCAAATGCAAATACGTGACAATGAATGGCGTCTTTAAGAAATGTTTAGGAAATTCGGGGTTTTTCAGATGATGCCACATCATTTTGGCAAGAAGAAAATAAATTGAGAATGGGTGATGAAACTGCAATGTTCCCTATTTTGAGTTCCTTCGCTTTCAATATATTATCTCTTCGACATTCCTCAGCTAATGTAGAAAAAATATTTTCAGCTATCAATCTAATGAAAACTAAAGAAAGAAACAAATTAAATACCGAAAGCATAACAGGATTGCTACATGCTAAAAAATTTATAGGTAACAGCAATTGTTACACTTTTCCCGTTGAAAAACAATTACTGTAGTTTATGAACAAAAACAATTTATACAAGGAAGATTAATTTCCCATTGTATTTTTTTGTAAAATTCAAATTGATTCTGTTTTCTATTTTAAATAATTTTTTTCAAATTTGTCACTTTTCAAATTTGCCTCCTTTTTTTCAAATCTGCCGATTTTTGACGAAAGAATCAAGCGATTTTAGAATTTTTAGGTTGGCAACATTAAATCCCGGTGTCAGTGACTGGATTGTGGTCGTTGTTGGAATAGACCTAAGGTTATCGTTAAAACTCCATTATATACATCATCCATTTTGCGTGAGTAACTGTCAAGGTAACGTTGACGATATTAGCTCCTCACGTTATTATAACATACGAAACCTGTAATGTCACAGTGTCCAAATACACATCTACATTTTGCAAGCTCTAAAAACTGTGACCATAAAAAATATTTAGTGTGCAACATTTGTGAAAAACACTTTTAGCACATCTAACTTTTACTATAGACTAAACAATTTAATTTATATTTTTTAAATTTGATCATAGGTTACGATGAAGGCGTCAATTTTGGTTTTGTCTTACATAGTAGGCATTGCCTACGCTGGTGTATACACCGACCGTTTCAATGTTCAATACAATAAAATTCATAGCAAGGGCTACTTCTCCCCCGATGGTATCCCATACCACTCAGTGGAAACTCTGATTGTCGAAGCCCCAGACCACGGTCACGAAACTACGTCTGAAGCTTTCTCTTATTACGTCTGGTAAGTGAAAATAATAATTATTTTTAAATTCGACTAAATAATAAAGGCTAAAACAACTACGTGGTCCTCCATTGAACAAAATAAATATTATTTTTAATTTTTTAGGTTAGAAGCTTTAAACGGTAAAATTAATTCCGATTGGTCAACCTTTAATAAAGCTTGGGATGTCTTGGAACATTACATTATTCCCGTATCTGCCAGTCAACCTACAGCACAATTCTACCAACCCAGTCATCCTGCAACATTCGCTCCAGAACTAGACACGCCTAACCAATATCCATCCCCCATTGATAATAGTATCCCTGTAGGTCAAGATCCTCTTCACCAAGAACTTGTCAATGCCTATGGTAATAGCGACATCTATGCTATGCACTGGCTTCTTGATGTTGACAATATTTATGGATTTGGTAATAGTCCCGGTATGTATTAAAAAATATTAATAAGTTGCAGTTTTTACTATGATTAACCAACTCCAACTAAACACTTTATTTAGTTCTTTTTAATAACAAAAATGTGTGTTTTTTTAGGAAACTGTGAGAACGGACCTGGAACACCAGGACCATCTTACATCAACACTTTCCAAAGAGGGCCTATGGAATCCGTATGGAGAACCGTTCCCCAACCAACTTGCGATTCATTCAAATATGGTGGTCCAAATGGATTCTTGGATCTCTACACTAAAGATAACAATTATGCTAAACAGTGGAAATACACCAATGCTCCAGATGCTGACGCTCGTGCTATTCAAGCTGCTTATTGGGCTGGACAATGGGCACAAGAAGCTGGACAACTAGGAACTATCTCAAATACTTTATCTAAAGCGTCTAAAATGGGTGACTACCTAAGATACGCACTCTTCGACAAATACTTTAAACAAATTGGAAATTGTGTCAGCCCTTACAGTTGTCCCGGAGGTTATGGCAGAAGCAGTGCCCATTACTTGTTGGGATGGTACTTTGCATGGGGAGGTTCTCTTGATTATAATGGCGGTTGGGCATGGCGTATTGGAGATAGTACTGCTCACTTTGGTTACCAAAATCCATTAGCTGCTTGGGCTCTTTCTCACGACCCCAACTTAAAACCTAGAGGAGCAACAGCTGTTTCTGATTGGCAAACTTCTCTTGATAGACAAATCGAATTCTACGAATGGTTGCAATCTGCAGAAGGAGCTTTCGGTGGTGGTGCCAGCAACAGTTGGAATGGTCGTTACGATACTCCACCAAGCGACGTATCTCAGAACACCTTCCACGGTATGTTCTACGATTGGGAACCAGTATACCATGATCCACCATCCAACAGATGGTATGGTATGCAACCTTGGTCTGTTGATCGTTTGGCTCAATACTATTACGTAACTGGTGACTACAAGGCTAAGAATCTTTTGGACAAATGGGTTAACTGGGTTCTCGCTAACATTAAAATTGATTCTGGTAAATCATACACTCTTCCTGAAACTCTCTCTTGGAATGGAGCACCAGGAAATTTACACGTTTCTGTTCAAACTTACTCTAGTGATGTTGGTACTGGTGCCGCTACTGCTAGAACTTTGTCTTACTATGCTGCCAAAGCTAACCACGCTCAAGCTAAACAAGTAGCCAAAGAAATGTTGGATATTATGTGGACGTCCCACCAAACAGACAAGGGTGTTTCTGTACCTGAAACTCCCGATACTTACCACCAATTTAACGAGCCTGTCTACGTGCCACCAGGTTGGACTGGAAGATACCCTAACGGAGATGTTATTCAAAACGGGGCTACTTTCCTTAGCATCAGGTCTTGGTACAAACAGGATCCTAGCTGGCCAGCCGTCGAGGCTCACTTGAACGGTGGTCCAGCACCAACTTTCACCTTCCATCGTTTCTGGGCTCAAGCTGATATTGCTATTGCTCAAGGTACATACGGTATCCTTTTCAATGAATAAGTATAATATATTAAGATATAAGTAAATATATTTTTTTTATAAATTAATAGATTCGTTTTTCTTCCAACCTCGGTATTTAAAAAGACATTTCGCTGGCATTTTCAAAGTATTTTAAAATACCTATAAGATTAATGAACAGAAGTGTTTTTTTTTATTTTAATGGTTATTTTTAAACTATTCATAGAGACTTGATAAAAATTATTTTAGCTTTTTTTCCATAGTTGTCTATTTAATAAAATAAAAATTAATTACAAAATTTTGTATACGTAGAGCTACTGTATGTTGGTGAAATCAAAATAAGTCGATTGAGTCAAAATTACCTATATCACAAAGTGCTTCGTTTGTCTGTGAGCAAGCTTTAAAGTTAAAAGAACATTTTTATTTTTTATTAATTACTTCGCTTCGTTCGATTTTTATAAAATTTGGTATATAGCTATTTTATTTGAAGAACCGCAACAATTACACCAACTGAAATCATGGAGCATTAAAAACCACCCTGATCCTACCATAAATGACATCGTATTTTTTTTTTTTTTTTTGAGGGCAGGCTATAATCTTTCAATTTTTTATGGAGAGTTGAATTCATTTTTAGCGTTTTTTGCTTATGCAAAAAACATGATTATTTCATGGTATTTGAGTAAGAAAAGTTCGAAAAAACTAAATTGGCGGTTATAACTAACGCAACCCGAACACTGTCGCTTTTAACGTTATTACAATAAAAAAAATAATTAGGCATTCCAACGACCTGTCAAACTGCTAACAAGTGGCAACTGACATTTAGGTATGGCAATCCTGTAAGCCTGTTGTCATTGATAGGGTCAATGATACATATATAATTATATAGATTGCTCAAAGTGGGTCGTTTACGAGCGGCCATATTGTCTCGCAAGTGCTCATTAATCAGAATTGATTTTGCAAAAATGTGTTTACACACCAATATTTAGCCTTTGAACATGATAAAAAAAAATTACCTATATTTTTACTTCAAGGCATAAGGTTATGTTTATTTTGAAAAATATGGATGATCAATCTATGTAACTCTCTATTTCATTGACCTTGTCAAATAACCAGGCCTACAGGATTGCCATAATTTTGCCATATCATAACCTGGCAAAACCCACTAGTGACCATTTTAGTATGAGAGCCCATAGCAAATTTCGACCGTCATCTGATAACGAAATGAAATATGCTCCAAAGGTATGTAACAACATTGCACTTTACCAAATTGCACCTGTGCCAATCCCTATTCTGAGCAAAGTGTTTAAAAAAAATTATTTTGTTTTTAAAAAATCACATAAGACATGACAGCGACAATTGTGTTTTCCCTGAAAATTACAACCCTAATTTATTGTAAATCTAGCTTTTAAACCTGAATTATTAATATTTTTACCTACCTTTTAAACCATGTTTATGTGTGAAAGGAAGAAGGATGGCATTGTATGGTTTCTTTTAAACAAGAAGAAAATTAAAATCACTAATTAGATCCGAGTATAAAAAATACATTAAAAGTATACAGGAAGATTCGAAAGCAGACATAAATAATTTTTGGACATATGATAATAAAAAAAGAAGTGGGAGTGTGAACAGTGGCAATTTTATTTTTAATGATAAAGAAATTCTTCCACAGCAAACTGCTAAGTTTTTTGCGGAATATTTTGCTACTACATATTCATCAAATCAGTCTACATATATTTTAAATGAACAAAACTCCAATCTTTGGAAAAATGATAGTTTTACACTAAATTTAATAAATGATGATGATTATCTAGCAGCTGTCAAAAAATTAAAACCAAAAAAGGCTGCAGGCACAGATGGTATACCACCATATATCTTAAAAGGTTGTCATGAGGGTTTAAAATTGCCAATGCTTCATATATTCAATCTTATTCTGAAATTTTCTACTTTCCCTGATCTGTGGAAAACGGCTATTTGTACCCCAATACATAAATCAGGTAGTACAAGGAATATTGAAAATAATAGATTGGTTTCTGTTATGTGTGCTCCTTCTAAATTATTCGAGCAAATAATTTATAACAAATTATATAATTTCGTGACAAATAGCATTGCTGAGGAGCAGCATGGATTTGTGGCTGGTAGATCAATTAATTCTAATTTATTTATTTTTACAAATTATGCGAATAATACATTAGAAAAAAGACTTCAGCTAGATACAATTTTTACAGATTTTAGTAAGGCTTTTGATCGGGTAGATCATGATATTTTGTTAGAAAAGATCAGTCAATTTGGATTGACAAGTGATGTATTAATGCTTATCAGGGATTACTTAAAAGATAGATACTTTTTGGTAAGACATAATGGTAATACTTCTAGCAGATTCCGTGCTGTTTCCGGAGTGCCGCAAGGTTCCAATTTAGGTCCATTATTGTTTCTGTTATTTGTCAATGATCTGCCAAATGTGATTAAATACTCGAGATCCTACTTTTTGCTGATGATTTTAAAATTTATAAACAAATTCAAACAGTACGCGATTGCGTTTCTTTGCAAAAAAATATAAATGCTATATACGAATGGAGTCAAAAATGTAAATTGGAATTTAACATCAGCAAATGTTATTATATGACTATTACCCGGCAAAAGCAACCGATTATATTTGACTATCCAATGGAAAGTGTGTCATTAAGAAAGTGCTTTCAAGTTAAAGATTTGGGGGTAACATTCAATTCTAAATTATCATTCTCTACGCATATTGAGAATACTTGTAAAGCAGCAAATCGTGCTCTGGGATTTTTAATGAGACAAACGCAGCCATTTTCTGATATTAATTTGTTAATAATTTTATATATTTCGTTAATCCGTTCAAAATTAGAGTGTGGTTCAATTATATGGCTTGGAGAATACCAAATCATTTTACAAGAATTAGAGAAAATACAAAATAAATTTTTAAGATATCTTTACTTTAAAAAGTTTCATATTAGACCTGATTACAATGTTGTTAGAACATCACAATTAAGAATAGATTTTAAATTACCTTCTCTTGAGACTAGACGCAAAATCACATGCACCTTATTTTTGTATAAAATAATCAATAATCAAATATGTTCTTCAGATCTATTAGCCCTAATACCATTTTGTGTTCCATCACGTCCCATGCGTAACTCAAATATGTTTATTGTTCCTTTTGCCACGATTACATCCAGAGCTCCCCGCCTGATCATTCTTCGCTTAGCCAATGGTATAAATAATTTAGAAGATACAGACTGGTATGAGAAATATAACACATTTAAAAAAAATATTATTAAACAAATTACAAACATGTCCATTTAAGCAAGTAATGTTATTTGATCTCATGGTGTTCTGGTATCAAAATTATGTAAATTGTGGTAGGCACGTATATTGTAATTATTTAATAGTAATTATCCTTGTAATTAGGCCAATAGGCCTGTTAGGATAAATAAATAAATAAATAAATAAATAATCATAGTAGTTTTTTGTCGTTTCTATGGCAACCTGCAAAAATGAATCACAACAATAGGCATACAAATAAATTTTTAAATCAGCAAAAATTGATTCATATTTTTAATGATTTTTACCTACTAATCGTGGATAGCTGTTTTTGTGCGATGTTAAAAGGAAAAAAATGTTTCCTTTTAACGATATATATCAAGATATATTTAAATGTTATTTTCTGGAAAACTTTAAGGGCAAACAAAATTAGCGCTGTCATGCTTTATGTGATTTTTTTTAAATAAAATATTTTTTTTAGGCCACTTTGCTTAGGATTTGGATTGGCACAGGTGTCATTTGGTAAAGTACAATATTTTTACATGCTTTTCGGGTATATTTCATTTCGTTATCAGATGACGGTAAAAATTTGCAGTGGGCTCTTGGGCTATTTTGTTTGGAATGCCTAATAGGCAGGGGTATCGACTCAAAAAATAACAATTCAAACAGATGGTTAGAGACTTCAAATTTTCAAGAAAACTAAGTTGGCGGTTCTCAACGTTACTAATAAAAAATTTTAAAGTTTTGACAGATATTTATTTATCTACCCTAATCTATCTAGGCCTAATTACAAGTTTATACAGATAAAGTTTGCTAATTTTATATAATCAGAAAAAAAGAAAATATCAGAGTGAGCGAGTCTCAGAATTGCAGGGGATCAAATTCAAAACATAATTATTTAGCTAAAAATATTTATAAGACATTGAAACATTAAAATGCGAAATCTATTTAAAGATATATTCCAGTCAAGATCATGGAGATAATTATTGTTCGCCATCCGAAGTATGTCCACAATAGGAGATCGAATAGTAGGTAAGAAGGGTATATAGAATATGTTAAGATTTCGAGTATTTCGTGTAGGTATACTGAATGGTAAAAGTGATAATAAATTAGGTGCATTTATTAGATTATTAATAATTTTATATAAAAATAGCATTTATAGTAATTTTCGTCTACTTTCTAAAGATATTATTTTGAATTCAGTTCCTAAATTAATTGATCATACGGTTTTGAAATCAGGCCGAGTGTGATATTTTTTATATTACAAATACCTTAAAAATGTATTCTGTATTTTTTTAATTCCTTAGAAAATAGTTGGATACTCACTCATCCATATGATTGAACCAAACTCTAATTTTGATCTTACTAATGTGTAATATAAACGTTTTATGGTATTTATGTCTGTAAAAAGTGTAGTTTGTCTTATTAAAAAGCCAAGAGCCCGATTTGCAGATTTCATTGTGTTTTCGATATGAAAACCAAAGGATAATTTATTATTATATGTTAGACCTAAATCTTCAATAACATTTTGTCTAGCTAGATCGCTATTATTCATTTCATATTTAAAAATAATAGGTTCTTTTTGTCTAGTTGTACTAATAACACTACATTTTTTTTACATTAAAGTTAAATTTTGTGCTCCACTGATAAATACTATTAATATCTTTTTGAAGTAGAATGCAATCACGAATTTCTTTATATACTTTTAAATCAGCATCAAAGATCAGGCATTTTGAGTATTTTACTACGGTTGGTAGATCATTTATAAACAAACGGAAGAGCAAGGGCCCCAAATTGGACCTTGCGGC